TCCTCCCAGCCAACAAACGTGTATCTTGGGAGACTTCCTCTAGTAGTGGAGGTAGCACACGGTCCTGAGGACTAGCAGCTTTTCCTTATTTAACAGCACAAGAAGAGCCATGGTAGAGCAGAGCAAGGGGGCACCTTGCCTAGTGTTCTGGCCTGCTGTCAGAGTCTCTTTACTAATGGTGAGAATGAATACCAGAACCTCCAGGTCAGATCGAAGCCCCTTGAACCCCAGAGTTTTTATGGGTGAGATCACACAGGCCCCCTGCAGTCACTCACAACATACACAGAGTGTTTTCTAGATTTTGAGTCCTATGGGCTCAGCAGCCGGGCAGTCGATGAGGAAATGAGGGGAGCACAATGAAGAGAATGTCAGAGCTATGCAGAGGCAAGACTTAACACAATGCAATTTGATGACAGGAGATTGTTATGTTAATCATGGCTCGTTGCTGGTCTTGGCTATCAGCTTGCAGGTGAATTAATCAGGCCAGGTTGCTGCTGCTAGTAGATTAGCAGGACAAAAGTCTCAACGGAGTGAACTTTACAACTGAATGTAGAGTTCCTGCCTCTTAAAGTGACAGCAATATTAAACAGTAATCTGGCTTGGAATTGGGCTGCCGAGAAAGGGGTGCAGGTTTGATTTTATAACACAAAGGACATATAAGCAACGTTTTCCTACCAGGATTTATCTGAATTTTCCCAACATTTCCCACCAAATCATGGTACTTAAGCTGCGGGAGGCCCAGTGCCATCGTGTCCCTCATACTGGATGCAATGCATAACTTTCAGGACTAGTGGCTTGATCAGTTTAATTTCATCCCATTTCATTCAGGCCCGGTCTTACTACCAAAGCATGGCATTCAAGGTGGCTGAGGTACAACGGCTTGCTGCCCCTGATACTGGAGGTGATGCGTGGCCATGAGGACTAGTGGCTTGATCTTTTCTTCTCTCCGGCAAGGGAAACTCCTGCAGCTTGCCTGCGTGGCTTACCAACCCCGCTCGGTTCCCACCAGAGGGCTCCCGAGGTGGCCAGGGAGGAAGAGGAGGCGACGATCTTTCTTGGCTCTCTCTCTCCCCCTGAGAGAGGGGCTGCCTTTCCCGCAGGTTGGGAGGCGGCGCATGAAAGAGGCGCGAGCCAAGCCTGTTACTCTGCGTGCAAACCTTGCACATTCAGACGAGAACCGGAAAAGCAGCGTCTCCCCGCGCCGCCTTCCCATCGTGACACCTGCAGCCCTGCTGCCTCCCGCCGCCTCTCCAGATCAAGCGATCCGCGGGCTTGACTAGCCCCAGAGCTCCCGTGGGGGGCGTCCTTCCCCCCCGACGGGGAGAGCAGCCCTCCGGCAGCCCCCGGATAGCCTGGCCGCCCGCTGAGCCCGCTGCGGCCCCGCACGGCGCGGCCCCGCGGCCGTGCGCACGCCCGGAGCGCGCAGCTCGGGTTCCGACGAGCGGGGAGCGGCTGCGCCGGATCGCGCGGAGGTAAGCGAGGGGCGGCATGGCCGGGCGCTGGCCGAGGGCCCCGGCTGCAGGGGGGCTCGGCGCGGGCGGCCCCCACGGCTCGCACCGACGCCGCCCCCTGCAACCTGCTTCCTCGGCGGCTTCTCCGCGGTGGGGCGACGCGGGACCGGAGACGCGCGCCGGCGCTGGGCTCCCGAGCAAGCGAGCGGCAGCCATGCGGGGAAGGAGGGCGAGGAGCCGGGGAAGCTGGTGGCCAGGGTGGGGGGAAGCGAGCCTGCGTGGGGCAGGGGGTCCGGCGAGCCCCCCCCCCCCAAAAGCTGGACCGAGCCCTGCGCCTTCTGTTCGCTGCGCTTTTCCTTGCATCGGGTTTCCAAGAGGGTCGCGCCGCCTCGTTCCCACGCCAAACGTTTCCCCCTGCTTGGCTCCTTAATAAATCCATCATTGGCTTGAAAGCGGGGTGGACTTGATCGCCCTGCCCGGCTGGCCCTCGCCCGTTGGCTTCACGCTCACCAGGCTGTCGAGGGGTTTTAAAGGAAGCTTTGAAACAGGGACCCCATACTGGGGTACCTTGGCTCACGAACTTAAACCCGTTGCACGACTCTGGTTGGGACCCAAGTCAAATTTCCCCGTAAGATTCAACGTAAATAAGGTTAATCCGTTCTGGCCCCTCCGAATGTGGCTTTGAGCCAATTTTTGGTCACGAGACAAGTCAAATTTCCCCATAACGTTCAGTGTAAATAAGGTTAATCCATTCTGTAACTTTTTTTTTAATCAGAAAAATTTGAGTCAAATTGGCAACAACAAAATACTGTGCAGTACAGTGGAGAACTCTAACCTGGGGGGGGGGTTATTATTTTGAGGGAGAGTCCCCCTCCGTAAGGACATTGGGGAGCTCTCTTTCAGGGGTTTCCTCTCTTCTTTGTCTCTTAGCTGCAGGGTCAATTTTGGCGAAAAATGCGTTTGATGTCACTTGTTTTTTCCTGTGCTGCATAACCCTCCGGAAATGAGAGCCCACATTATCTCTGTTATCACTCTGTTCGTTACAGTTATGCTGGGGTGGTGCTTCTCAAAGAAACCCTGGCACTCATTCCATTTTCCCATAATGGATTGTATCACCTCTCTGCTAACCTCCTCCCTGCCTTCCTCTTCCTCTCCCTCGGTGGAACCCTCCTCAGCAAGTGCCTTCTGCTGCTCGCTCTGGAGTTCAGCAAGTTCTTCTGTCCTCAGCTCCTCTATGTCTTCCCCGCACAAACGCAACTGCGAGCGTGGTCATCTCCCCACTCGGGAGGTGGGGGGGAGATGGCCCCGATCTTGGCCGCCATCCAATGTGGAGTTCGCAACCCAAGTCAAAATTTTCATGAAATTTTTGTTCGCGACCCGATTTGGTCGTGAACCAAGGCGTGCGTGAGCCGAGGCACCACTGTATTTCCCTGTATATAAAATGCCTCACATTTATGAAATGCCCTGCTTCTCTGGCAGGCAGAATATTTAAAAGAGAGCACAGGAGTCATGGCTCTGCGGTGCAGCAACCCCGGAATGTGGAGGAAGGGCTCATTTCGTAGCCTGGCCTACCTCGCAGGGGTTTGTCATCTGTGATGTGAGAATTGCAGGGCGACGGGTCTGGAAGACACTGTGTTGGGCCCGGTGCAATGTATTTTCTCCTTGGCAGTGAGAACCGGTATGGCATTGTGGTTAAAAGCGCGGGACTGGGACTCAGACCATCTGGGCTCGAGTCCCCGCTCAGCCATGGAGCCCACTGGGTGACTTTGAGCTAGTCAAAGACTCTCAGCCCAACCTACCTCACAGGGCTGTTGTGAGAGTAAGATGGAGAGGAGGAGGAGAATTATGTAATCACCTTGAGTTCCTTGGAAGGAGAAAGGTGGGTTATAGCTATAATAAATAAATTTTCATCCAGAAGGGGCGAGTTGGTTGATTACGGCCCAGAGCATGCTTCTGCCCAGCATCTTTCCAAAGATAGCCCCCACCCTCAGGATCAGCTTCAGGTTTTATTGCATTTATTAATCCTGCCTTTCCTCCAAGCAGCTCAAGGCTCCTCTGCTTTATCCTCACAACAGTCCTGCGAGGTAGGCAAGGTCGAGAGACAACGATTGGCCCAAAGCTACCCTCCCAGCCTATTGGTGGCCTGATAGCAGACTAGAATCCAGGTCTCTTGAGTTCCAGTCCAACACTGTGCTTGGTGAAGTAGGAGGGAAGGTGGCTGCACCTGCCAGGTGTGCCCAGATGATGAGCCCAGGGGAAAGAGAGAGCCATTTGCAACCCAGGACCAGGCTTACTGGGTGAGATGCAGGCCTCTGGATAAAGGGCCTTACGAGCAGCTGAGGAGGAGGAGGAGTCTGGACAGGTGGGGAAGGGGTGCGTCCCTGGTTTCGCCTGACGGGTTTAATAGCTCCCCTGTGTATGTGTGTGTTATATTTCCATCCCACTTTTAACCCTTGCAAGGAACCCAAGGCGGCTCACGCAAGGCTCCGCTTCCTCTCCGTTTCATCTCTTCACAGCCCTATGAGGTTGGTTGAGAGTCGGTGACCAGCCCAAAGTCACCAGGTGGGTTTCAGGACTATTCAGGACATAGAATCACAGAAGAGTTGGAAGGCCATCGAGTCCAACCACCTGCGGTTGCAGGACACCAGTTTACACCATCTCACACAGATGGCTGCCCAGTTTCTTTCTGAAGGTCTCTGTTGTGGGAGAGCCCCCCACCTCTCCAGGCAGCCGGTTCCCCTGTCAAAATGCTCTGACAGTGAGGAAGCTTTTCCTGATGTCCAGCCTGAATCCGGGTTATCACAACTTGAATGGATTATTCTGTGTCCTGCACTTGTATCAGCAAGAAGAGATCTTGTCCTTCCTCTCGTGACTGCCCTTGAGGTACTTACAGAGGGACACCATGTCCCCCCTCAGCCTTCTCTTCTCAAGGCTGAACATGCCCAGTTCTCTCAGTCTCTCCTCCCAGGGCAGTGTTTCCGAGCCCTGGACGTGAACTAGAAACCAGATTTCCCCAGTGCTTGCACCTTGAACCTTATTGTTGTAACACACCAAGAGAGCGTTGGCTACAGGAAGGTATGTTGTTGTTAGTCACAAAGTTGTGTCCGACCCATCACGGCCCCAGGAACAACACTCCTCCAGGCCTTCCTGTCCTCCACCATCCCCCGGAATCCACCCAAGCCCACCCCCAGTGACCCCATCCAGCCACCTCATCCTCTGCCCTCCCCTTCTTTTGCCGTCAATCGTTCCCAGCATCAGGGACTTCTCCAGGGAGTCCTTCCTTCTCATTAGGTGGCCAAAGTATTTGAGCTTCACAGGGAGGTATACAAATACTTACATAAATAAAAGTGGTCTTATTTATATATTTATTCATGATATTTACATCCCACCTTTTTCCTTCCTACTAGGCAGCTGACATATTCCTCTTCCTCCTCTCCATTTTATCCTCACACCCACCCTGTGAAGTAGGTCAGGCTGAGTGAATGGCTGACCCGAAGCCACCCAGAGAGCAGACTGGGGAGTGGAACCCGGGGCCTCCAAATCCCAGCCTGCCATTCTAACCCTGCATCATACAAGGGTTGGGGCCGTAGGGTAAGGAGTCCTCAGTGAGCCCTGGCTAGATCAGGCTTGGCTCCGTCTCCCTTCTGTCACACGCCTGTCCCCCATTCTCTCGCTCCGTCCTTCCGGGCTCAGCCCACGAAACCACAAGGTCTCTCTTGTTGCATCGTACACCTTCAGAGAAGGTAGGTGAACTAGCTGGCGACATCAAAGAGAAGAATTAGGAGATCCCAGAAGAGCAGCTTGGCACCGGGCCCCCACAGGTGTATGGCACCTTGGCAGTTGCCCCAGCTGTGCCTGCCTGCCCAGATACTCACCAGACTGCAGGGGCATTTCCAGATGGTGAGAGATTCCAGGTCTCTCAGGAAGGCAGTTCCCTTGCAAATAAGTACTGGAAAATCAAAGTGATGGACGATTCTACAAAAATCAGAGCATCGCAAGACTCCTGCGGGGTGGATGAGCGAGACATGACATATATAAGAAGCTCTGCTGCATTGGACCGAAGGTCCATCTAGCCCATGGTGGCAAACTTGCTTCCCCCAGGATCCCTCAGGCAGGAAGGGTGCAAGACCTCCTCCTGCCCAGCTCCTCAGCAGACATGCAGCTCTGGGGAAGGAGGGGGCACTTGGCCAGCAGGGCTAGTAGCCACGAGAGCTTTCTCCCTCGTGAATCTGCCCGATCCCCTTTTAAAGCCATCTTGACTGGCCACCAACCCCACTTCCCATGGCAGCGAATTCCACCATTTAACTCTGTGAAGAAGGCCTTCCTTCTCTCTGCCCCAAACTTCCCACCAAGCAGCATCATGGGATGCGCCGGAACCCCTTTAACCCCTTCACAGCGAGGCAGAGATTCAGTAGGAAAAACATTCCCCCTGGCTGTGCCTGTGCTCTAAGGAATTGCCCGTTTTGCTTCCAACAGATGCAAGACCCCCTGCCTTGCCCAAGGAGACCAACGGAAGGTGCTGAAGCCTGGCAGAGAACGAGCGAGGAGCTGCTGGTAAGCTCTTCTTTTTCTCCTGTGGTTCCATAGAACGCAGCCTTCTCTTCAAGCTCAAGCCTGGTTGCCACAGGCGATCAGGAATGGCATGCAGGTGACTTCCGAACTTGAGGAGGGAGGGCAGTGCTGCTGTGTTTGGTGTGGAAACCAAACAGGCTTCTAGAGGATAGACGTCCTCGCCAGAGCGCTCAGCATGCAGTGTGGAGGATTCCACCTGCCCCCATCCGTGTTGCGAGGGGGGCTTCTGGGCGGGGAAACTTCTGGACTTATTTGCACAGCTGGGTCAGTGGAATGTTTTTTGTCCTGGTAGGCGGCGGTGGCAGCATCGGGCTTCAAGGCATCCAGCTGTGGGAGCACATTTCCCATGCTGTGTGAGGATGCCCAGTCCTGGATCAAACTTGGGGAAATCGCTTCTGCCATGTTGCGCAAGGAGCCATCTCTGCCCTCCACGGATGGGCCGATGCCAGATTTTTCCCTGTCCTTGAAATAATTAGAATCGTGTGCCAAGCAAGCCTTGAAAACAGGAGAGATATTTCCAAAGTCCTCACTTTATTGTAGATGCACAGAAACAGTAGAGAGCGACCCCGTTTCCAGTTGGGACCAGCTGCCACAGGCACCCTGCACAGTGAATTTATGCATGTAGCTTTTTTGCAATTAAGCGTAACACGCAATATTTGCTTACTTTTCTACTGCGCTTCCTTTGAGGGCATCTGGGGTCAAAACATCTGAATGAGGGCTTATCTTTACAAATTCTGACCTCCTTGACAGAGGTTTATTTTATATTTTTGACCCTCTTGTGTCTCTGTGAAAGTAAAGGACTCTTGTTGTTTGGTCACCGGGGGAAAATTATATTTTTCACACTTTTCAGACAGCCCAGCTTCTGAGACTTAGACTGGACTCAACCAAGCCATTGCTTAAAATTTCGTAGAATCATAGTAGAGTTGGAAGGAGCCATGAAGGCCATCGGGTCCAACCTGCTGCTGTTGCAGGACACCAAGTTACACCATCCCACTCAGATGGGTCCAGTTTCTTTCTGAATGTGTCTAGTGTGGGAGAGCCCCCCACCTCTCCAGGCAGCTGGTTCCACTGTCCTATTGCTCTGACAGTGAGGAAGCTTTTCCTGATGTCCAGCCTGAATCTGGGTTGTCACAACTTGAATTGATTATAACGTGTCCTACACTCTGGTATCAGTGAAATCTTGACCTTCCTCTTTGTGACAGCCTTTGAGGTACTTCTAGAGGGACACCATGTCCCCCTCAGCCTTCTCAAAGCTGAACATGCCCAGTTCTCTCAGCCTCTTCTCACAGGGCAGCGTTTCCAAACCCTGGATCATTTTTGTTGCCCTTCCCTGGAACCTCTCTCGTTTTTCTGCATCTTTCTTAAATCTTGGTGCCCAGAATTGGACACAGTATTCCAGGTGAGGTCGGATTAGTGAGGGGTATAGAGGAACTACTGCTTCTCGTGATTTGACCAGTATCCACTGTGATCACACCTCACTTTGTATTTTTCTTACCCCGAAGCCCTTGCTGTGCCCCAATTTTAGCCGTCAAGAAACCAGGAAAAAAACATGTCCTGCTTCATACAAGACCTGAGATCCATCCTTGCATTGGTTTTAACTTCTGTCCCTGTGGTCCAAATGCCCCTTCTCTTTCATCTTGTGTCCAGGTTCTTCGGAACTTTAATTAAATTCTGCTAGTACTTCTGGAAATTCAGCTTTCTAGGGCTCCCTGGAGGTTTCCTGACTGATGTGTCATTTCCTCCCCACTCTAAAAGGCCTAGTTAGTGGCAGCAAAAGTCTGCTGAAACGTGTTGGCATTTCTGGCCCTGCCCCTTTTGTCTAAGGCCCCACCCACCAATAAAATCCCCTCCCATCCCACCTGAGTTTCTCCAAAATTGAATTCAGCCTTGGGGCAGAAAGAGTTTGGACACCCCAATATCAAACAGAGCTTGGCAGGCAAACTCATTTCCACAGGATAGTGTAATGTCTCAAAACACTAACAATGTTCCTTGGAAGAGAGGCCCACTAAAAAAATAAAATTGACTTTATTTATTTATTTATTTATTTATTTATTTATTTATTTATTAAAACATTTCTATGCCGCCCCATTCGCCGAAGCCTCGGGGCGGCTCACAACATAAAGTTAAAATACAAAAAATAACAATATAAAATAAGTTCCCTGGCCAGATAAAATAAGCATAATATTAACAATTAAAATGACGCTTAAATAAAAAGGTCTTCATCTGGCGCCGAAAAACAAATAACGACGGTGCCAGGCGGACCTCTCTGGGGAGCGCATTGCATAGATTGGGCGCCACCGCAGAGAAAGCCCTCCTCCGAGTACCTACCCTCCTAATTTCCTTCACGGAGGGCTCCCGGAGAAGGGCCTCTCCCGCAGATCTCAAGGGGCGGCCGGGCGGGCATATATGGATGTAAGCGCTCCTTCAGGTAACCAGGACCCAAGCCTGGTTT